TAGTGCCAAAATTGGGAGGGCTGTCTCACAGACTGGTCAAGGAACAGCCTGACATTGTCTGCAAGGTATGATTCCGTGAGTATGACTATGTTCCAGACACTACCATCACCATCCCTGGATATGTCCTGTCCCACCAGCAGGACAGACCCACCAGAGGTGGCAGCACAGTGGTATACAGTTGGGAGGGTGTTGCTCTAGGAGTCCTCAACATGGACTCCGGACTCCATGAAGTCTCATGGCTTCAGGTTAAACATGGTCAAGGAAACCTCCTGCTGATTACCACATACCATCCTCTCTCAGCTGATGAATCAGTAATCCTCAATGTTGAGCAATAATTAGAGGAAGCACGGAGGATGGCAAGGGCACAAAATGTACTCTGGGTGGGGGATTTCAATGTCCACCACCAAGAGTGGCTCGACAGCAGTACTATTGATCGAGCTGGTTGGGTCCTAAAGGACATAGCTGCTAGATGGGGTCTGTGGCTGGTGGTGAGGGAACCCACAAGAGGGAAAAACATAATTGACCTCATCCTTACCAATCTGCCAGCTGCAGATGCATCTGTCCATGACAGTATCGGTAAGAGTGACCATTGCATAGTCCTTGTGGTGACGAAGTCCCGCCTTCACATTGAGAATTACTTCCATCGTGTTGTGTGGCACTATCACCGTGCTAATTGGGACAGACTTCGCACAGATCTAACGACAAGACTGGGCATCCATGAGGCACTGTGGGCCACCAACAGCAGCAGAACTGTACTCCAGCACAGTCTGTAACCTCATAGCCAGGCAGATGCTGTCTCGGGAGCCTTGGTGAATTGTTGCAACATATCTTGTAGATGATATATACTGTTTCTGCTGAATGACAATTAATGTGAGCCCAGACACCAGCAAAAAAATGAAGTCGAAATAAAGCAGCATAACAACATTTGGTACATTAGTACTAAAGTTTTCTTCTCATAGATTAACAAATAAATATGAAAAATCAATACACATCGTAAAAATATTATTTTCTGTACTCAAGCATATTTCAGCTAAACTCTACAGATTCCATGGTTACAGACTCAGAAAATCCCTCTCCCACCTAACCACATAATAATCAGGCCCTTCCCCCCAACCACATACATCCTTCCTCCCAAACTGCCTCCCCTCCCATCCACATACTCATTCACACCCACCCCCGATCCAACTCAATACAAAAAACACTTATTCCTGTTCCTTACCCCACTCAGCACCTACCAACTCAGTCATGCCCTCTAACCCTCCCCACTCAATCATCTCCTCTTCCATTCTACCCTCATATGGATTTCTCCATTTTGTCTCGACGTGGAAAAGTTCAAATGGAAAGCAGCAGTTTTAAGGGTCCAAAACACAGGCCCCAAATCCCAGTTCCGCACTCCCTGCCATCAGCTCTGCTCTGTCTTGTCCCCCTACTCACTGAGCCCTGGTCTTGAAATTCATACCCAGCCCTTATGGCCCTGCTCTGAGCTCCCCACCATAACTCTATGTAAGTTCACCATTCTTGCACTCTTGTGAATCTTTTCTCTTTCTAAGGGCTTTATATCCTTCCTAAAGTGCAGTGCCCAGAGTTAAATATAATATTTCAGTTAAGACCTAAATACTGTATAATATATAAGTTCTTCAAAAGTTTCTGTGTACAGTATACTTTAAATTTATGAAACTCAGGATACCAAATGGCTTATTAACTATTGTTTCAACTTGTCCTGCCACTTCCAAAGATTTATGCGTAAATATCTCTAGATCTCTTTGTTCTTGATCTGTTTAGATTTGTACTCTTCAGTTTATATTGGCTTTCCTGTCTTCCTTCCAAAATGTATCACGTCACACTTTTCAACACTAAGTTTCATCAGTCACTTGTCTGCCCATTCCACCAGCCTGCCTGTATCCTCTTGAAGTCTTTCATCATTGCTACAATTTCAATTTTAGTTTAATTCAAGTTTGTTTTTAAATTGTGCATGTACATCCAAGTCTAAACCATCAGAATACACTTTGAAAAACAGTGGTCCCAGTACCAACCCATGGGAACTGAAATAACTTCACAGAGGCCAATATCCTGTCACCGAGTCACCCTTTATTTACATGTGGAAAATCTTTAACACTGATACAGCTCCTTCGGACCCAGCTCTCAAAGTGAGCAGAACCTCTGACACACCTGTTTATATCTGTCAGCCAGGGCTCCATTGGACCAGATTAAAAGCCTCAAATCAGAAAACTCATATTCTAATACATTCACCTGGCTGACCTCATTAGAATCACTACAGAAACCCTGCTAATTATATACTACCCGTCCAACAGTTCACCACTACTTTGCTTCCTGTCACTTTTATTTGATGGCATTAAAAACTTTCTATTAGAAGCTTTTTGAAGTTAAATTTATACCACATCAACTGCACTGTCCTCATCAGCTCTTTCTTTCTCTTACCCCAACAAAAGATTCAAGCAAGTTAAACATTTGCCTTTAACAAATCAGTGTTGGCTTTCCTTAAGTAATTCAGAAGTAGTAGGAACTGCAGATGCTGGAGAATCTGAGATAACACGGTGTAGAGCTGGATGAACACAGCAGGCCAAGCAGCATCAGAGGAGCGTGAAGGCTGACATTTCGGGCCTGGACCCTTCTTCAGAAAATGGGCCAGAAGAAGGGTCCAGGCCTGAAACGTCAGCCTTCCTGCTCGGCCTGCTGTGTTCATCCAGATCTACACCTTGTTGTCTTAAGTAATTCACAGCTGTTTCATTGACACTTATTTTTCACCTGAATGTAATTTCCAAAAGCTTCCTCCCACTAATGGTAAAGCGATGTAGATGCTATGTTCATCCTTGTAACATCCTTCTGTAACATTTGCAGTTCTCCAATCAACTGGAACTTTCCGTTCCTTTATCCAAGGTGGATTGGAAGACTATACTATTCCACCCTTGCATCCCTCAACAAACTGGGATCCATCCCATTTGATCTGATAACATATTTACTTTAAGTACAGCCAAGTTTTACAGTACCATCTTTTTATCCATGCAGCATCTCAACTATGTCCTCTTTTTGCAATGATTTCAGTGGCATCTTCTTTCTTAGAAAAGACAGGCACAAAGTATTAACTTAACACGTCAGCTATGTCCTTGTGTTTAAATTCGTTTTGTTTGGTCAAGTTCTGACCCCGCCACTATTTTTACTACCTGTCTGCTATTTCAACATTTATAAATAGACATTGAGTGTTTTTGTTTTCTTATGTTAGCCACCAGTTTATTACAGAGTCATACAGCATGGAAACAGACCCTTCGGTACAACTCAACCACATTGACCAGACATCCCAATCTAACCTAGTCCCATTTGCCAGCATTTGGTCCATATCCCTCTAAACCCTTTCTTTTCATGTGCACGTTCAGATGCTTTTTAAATGTTGTAATTGTACCAGCCTCCACCACTTACTGTAGCAGCGCATTCTATACATGCACCACCCTCTGCATGAAAAGGCTACCCCTCAGGGTCCTCTTTAGATCTTTCCCCTCTCGCCTTAAACCTATGCCCTCCAGTTTTGGATTTCATCATCCTAGGAAAAAGACCTTGGTTATTCACCCTATCTATGCCCCTCGATTTAATAAACCTCTATAAGGTCACCTCCCAGCCTCCAAAGCTCCCAAGAAAAAGCCTCAGCCTATTCAGCTTTTCCTTACTACTCAAACATTCCAGTCCCAGCAACATCCTTGTAAATCTTTTCTGTATCCATTCAAATTTAAGAACATCCTTCCTACAGAAGGGCAACCAGAATTGTACGCATATGGCCTCTCCAATGCCCTGTACAGCCACAATATGATGTCCCAATACCCATACTCAATGTTCTGAATTGTCTCACTTTCTTTTACAGTTCCCCTCTGAACATTCTATATTCAGTCTGCTTCTCGCTTGTGTCATCAACCCGACATCTGTCATACGCCTCCCTTTTGAGCTTCCTCTTGCTCTTTCTCTCTCATATTCAGCATCCTGGGAGCTCTGACTTTGTTTGCCCTTTCTTTCCTCCTCATTGGAATATACCTCAACCACATTAAAACCAGCTCTTCTTTCAGGAAGGCTCACTGTCCAAAAATGTTTTTGTCTGCTGATCTTCGATTTCAATTCAACCCAGCCACATCTACTGACAACCCATTGAAAGTGGCCATCCTCCAATTAAGTATTTTTATTCTAACTTACTCCCTATCTTTTTCCATAGCTAATCTAAACTTTATGATGCTATGATCACTGTGGGGACAACTGTTTTTCACAAATATCAAAATTGTATTGCATTGTATTCTTGTCCCTCCAGCTTCACTGTCAAATGTAAAGAGTTTAAGGGATCATTTTATGAGTGACATTGTCTCTCCCTCTTGCCACTCCTCAATCCTGACCGTGCACTGTTCCCAATTCTTTCCTACAACTTCACCAATCTCATTTCCTCCATGAGGCATATCTGTGTTGTACTTAACTCTGGCCATTCGACTATCTTTCTAAAAGATCTCAGTTCATTGATCAATCTCTCTAATTTTCTTTCTCATCTTTACGAACAATTCCTGGTAGCAAAGTGTTGTGTCATGGGATGCTATGTCATTGTAATTTTGTCTACAATTTTCTCCAGATATTTTCTGCTCTTGGACCAAAAGGCAAGGAAAAAGAGTAGTTGTATATGGTGATGAGAGAATCAGGAGGCATGTTTACTCAGTGTGGATCTAAGAATTGCTCATATAAGTAGTGGCATTGGCAACTGGTTTTCTTACCACAGCAGAGATGAGGCACTGCCTGCTTCAACTGTGGTGTATTGCTGACAGAACAAGCAGAACCAGTGGGAGAAGATACGTTAAATACATTTTAAATTGAAAAACAGTAGGAAGACGATAAAGCATTCTTGAGGTGGTTCACATGGCAACAGACACACATTCTGTCTCCATAAAATATCCTGATGCCAAAGAACTCATGACTGTTCTTCAAGTGATACAATGTCAAAAATAGTCAGCATGCAGTACCTGCCAGTCGGAGTCCATGGGAGGCAAGAACATATCACAAGTATCCTGCAAAGAGAAAGAGAATGTCACATGGAGCAACAATGGAAGATCTTCATTAGCCATGCTATTATATTTTAGATTTTAATAGTAAACAGGACAAAATTACAGATGCAGCCTAACCACAGAATCAAGTGGATTCAAGGCAAGTTTTATTCCTAGTTTCTCAACTATTAGCACAGCAACCATCTTAATAGAGAGAAGCAACCATTTATGCATTTTTAAAACAATACTGTTTTGTGTTTTTCTTATCTCCAACATTTATTTTCTTCTCCTTTCTTTGTTATGACATTATCCCAATCAAATTGCATCTTAATGTCAAGCTAAATTCATAAATGAAGAGTGACAGTGTGTGATGATGCTCAGTGGATCATGGTTGTGGTAAGGCAGAAAGCAAGTGGATCAAGAAAAAAATCTTTTTTGATTGGTTCAAATTATATCACTAGAATAAGTGGACAGTGCAACATTTTTTGACTGCTATCCAAATAGACTAGAGAAGATTCAAAGGGGGAAAATTTAAGAGATTTTCAAACTTATGAAGAATTTTGAAAAAGTAAAAGTAACTAGGAGAAACTGTTTCCAGTGAATCATAGAGTCCCTACAGTTTGGAAAGAGACCATCTGGCCTGTCGAATCTGCACCGACCCACCCCCAAAGAGCATCCCACCCAGAATCCCACCCCAACCCCGTGACCCTGCATTTACCATAGCCAACCCACCTAGCCTGCGCATCCCTGAACACTATGCAGCAATTTAGCATGGGCAATCCGCCTAACCTGTACATCTTTGGAGAGTGGGAGGGAACTTGAGCACCCAGCAGAAACCTACACCTACACAGACACAGGGAGAATGTACTAACTGCACACAAAACAGTTACTATATGGGGCAGCAGTGCTAACCACTTTGTCACTGTGCTGCCCATGGGCAGGAGGTTGATTAAAGATTAAAAATTTAAGATATTGACAAAAGATAAAATACATTGCTGAAATAAAGATAATTTAATGTTTTATAAAATACATTGTTGTCATCTGGATTCACTGCCTGAAATTTTAATGATTTTCAAATCTAATTGGATATATACTTAAAAAAATGCAGGGCTATAAAGGAAGAAGAGCAGGAGACCAGGACAGGCACAGGCACAAATAGTCAAATGGATTTCCTCTATATGGTATGATTCCGTGCTTCTCATTAGAAAAGCATGCTAAGTTTTTCTGTGTCATTGACACTTAAATTTTGACGCATATTAAACACTTCCGACGCACATCTTTTTAAGAATAGATTTGAACAATTCAAAAATATTCCATTGCAATGGAGCCAATAAATAAAAGCTTTAAAAATTGGTTGTATTTTTATATCAGCTTTCTCACACCACACAGTTTCTTGGATCTTCTAGCTGCTGATTTCTGACTTTACATATAGTGAACCTGATTAGTCATCTTCTTTGCTCAATACATGGCTTGACTGTTTTGATTTTGATTTTATAACCTTGTTCCTTGTCACATAAGAATATTATAGGCAGAGAATCTTTACATACCAATTCTATCTATGAATCCTCCTACTAAAACTGTGGACAATGTCACTGCAATGAACGATACGGTTCTGCACAAAATCCAGGGTGACCTCTATAACTGAAGGCTACACTGTTCAGATTATAGATAAACAACAGGGAGAAAGACTTGCAAGGTAACTAGTAACTGTTTTTTACACATCAATGAAGCAAAGAACTAGGAGATAATTTTAACCACAAACGCGTGGCCTGGGGTCAGGCAAGGTGTAAACATTTTTTTAAAATCTCAAAATCACTACAAAACGTCCACTTCCAAGTATAGTACAGGCACTATCAGAAGTCAGGAGGAACAAGAATACTTCAACCCACCCTGCCAAATTACTTTCATCCTTGCCATTAAAACTCCATCTGGAATCTTCGCGAATACACTCCATGCTTAGGAATAGTGAATTGGGCAGCAGATCCACTTTTCAGATCCTAAAGATTTCCAACACTCCCACTAAACAGTAGCAGATTCTTTACTTGCTCTTCTACTGCTGATTTCATTAAAGTGCTTTCCGCCCAACAGGAAGCCAGCTCTGTCAATCAGGTTGCTTAAAGGCAGGGAAAGATGCACAGCATTGAAATTTCACCCCCCTAATCTTTGCATCTCATTGATTAATAATCATGACCCTATGATCAATATCACATTGCCATGCACGTATTGATGTCTTGTTTACCGATACCAAGTCAACTGCAGCTCTAGACAATTCATTGTAAATCGTGGTTAGGCATGATTCTGAGAGATGAGATAATAAATGTTTTCTTAGATTCTGCAACAGGTCTAACATGTTGTACAGAATCAAAATACTGCAGATGTTGGAAAAACAAAAAGTCACCACCCAAAATATTAAATTTGTTTCGCCCCATGGATGCTGCCAGGCCTTCTGAGTATTTCCAGCATTTTCTACTGGAAGTTTTACATTTAGAACCATTGATTAGTAACATAGAAGTATGTACTTCTGATCATTCTGTAGCTGGATTTTGTACATTAATGAAGACCAAAAACTGAAATACAGTGCACTAATTTCAAAAGTACAGCCAGAACAACAAGAAAAGTCATACAGTCACTGCAGCACAGAAACAGATCCTTTGGTTTGACTTGGCTATCCCAATCAGGTTTACCAAATTAAACCAGTCCCATTTGCCTTGATTTGGCCTATATCCCTCTAAACCTTTCCTATTCACGTGTCTGTCCAAATATCTTTTAAATGTTGCAACTGTACCTGCATCTACCACTTCCTCTGGCAGTTTATTCCTCACATGCACCATCCTCTGTGTGGAAAAAGTTTATTCTCAGGTCCCTTTCAAACCTTTCTCATCTCACCTTAAACTTATGCCCTCTAGTTTTGAACTCAGCCACCTTAAAAAGGCACCTACCATTCACCTTATCCATGTCCCACATGATTTTATGAATTTCTAAGGTCACCCCTCAACCTCCTACATTCCAGGGGCAAAAAAAGTGCCAGCCTATCCAGTCTCTCCATATGATTTCCCATAAAAGGAAACTTTAGAAAACACAGAAGTAACATTCAATATTTTAGAAGAGTACTAGTGAATTTTCTGTAGCATTTTCTGTCATAGGTTGGAGAATGTGACAGAAGTGTGTGGAAGTAAAGTTAAGAGACTGAAGTAACTCGATAGTAGTAACCCCTTTTCTGATTAAATTTGAGCTAATCAGAAAAAAAAACAGCAAATGTTTTATCATCTCACAAGCATGTCAAGGGATAAACATTCTTCTTGAGCTGTGATGTAAAACAAGCAGTATTGAATTAACTGGCTATCATACAAAGCAACTGATGTTTAATTCCACTGAAAGCAAAATGGAACAAAATAGCAGGCACAAGGTATAACGAGCATCCAAGACATATCAAACATTTTAAGCCAACACTTAAGATGGATTTCTAGTCACTTGAGTCTGGCATATGCTCTACACAAAACTGAACAGAACTTTCAAATATACAAAGTACCTCACCAGAACTTCCTAAAGTATTCGCATTCAAATGCTTCACTAAATGTGTTAAATATGATTTTGTGCATAAATTTCACAAAATTGCAGAAAGCAGATGATCAGTTATTCTGTTTTCAATGGTGTTGGCCAGTATAAATTGGTGGAACTTATTTTTTACATCACAACGTGAAGTCTCTCACATCCCTCCGAACAGTAAAAAAATGTTTCAATTTAACATCTCATCCAAAGAATGAACTGAATTAGCTTTGTCACATGTACTCAAATGAGTACAGTGAAAAGTTTATAACTCACCACTTATACTGCCATCTTAGGTACAAAGGTACCTAGGTACAGCATCTTCAGTTACAGATTATTTATAGTGTAACAATGTGACCAACACATGACACCATCTCAGGTACAGAGAATGTCAATGGAACATTCCTTCACTGTAGCACTGGAACATCAGCCTTGATGATACGTTTAAGCTTTGAAAGGTGTTTCAACCTGTAACAACATGATTCATAGGCTGCATGCAACTGAGCTAAGCTGAAAGAAATCCGTCGACTTTTTTTTTAAAGGGAATGTTAAAATAAAACCAAGTTAGGAAAGCAGCATCAGTATTTATATGAAGGCTAAAACTAGAGGTGAAAACCTAAAGTTTAAACGGATATACTTCAGATCTATTAAAGAAGCAAATGCACTGTGTGACTCAAGAGTTAAGGATAAATTCAGAGATAGAAATCCTGAGAGCTATTGAAAGCAGACAAGAAAACATTCAAATGGTCTATGGGAATATCTTAGTTATTAGCAACAGAGTGCTCTGGCCCAGTTAAGCCCTTAAAGGGATCAGTTGAAAAGCTAGACAAAGAATCAGTTTAAATAACTGATAAGTGAATGGATTCTCCATATCAAATCATTGAGAAATCTCAAGATCTTGTAATTTTTTGAACTTGGACCCGTAGAATATATGATAGGACCATATGTCACAAAGTAATGTGAAAAAAGCAATTACACCAGCTGGAAAAGATAACATAATTCAGAAAGAAAAATTCAGGTTAAAATTTCCAGGAGCAACATTAACAAATGAGCTGTGAGGCTAGTGAGCAAGAAAGAGGAATAGGTTAACATACCAACTCTTTCTGAAGTGATATCAAATCTCACATTGCAATTCTCTTATCATATCCTTCTAATTGATTTTTTTCTGCATTCCTAATACTGTTCAGAAATTTAAATAACGCCAATTTAAATCAGAAGCAAGTTTGTTAATATTTACTCAGTCTTTTGCTACCTATTTGCTTCATTATGTTCCCTAATTTATAGTCTTTATAGATAATACCCTTTGCATTTTAAAAGTTGCCCTCAAGTTTTGTCAGAACAATTCATCATTTACTTTCATAAATGTTCTTTTAAAAATTGAAGATCACTTCAAAACTTCTTTGGTCTTTTTCCAGCAAGGACATAGACAGCATCTTTTGTTTTATCTCCTATCCCAAGGAACCTGACCTTGGCAGCTC